ATTAATAGTAGTTTCTTGGGAAATATATTTATGAAACTATCTCTAGCATACAGGAAATATTAATAAATTTGAATTTTCCTTTCGAATTTCACTAGTTAAAATAACAATAAGGTTTCATATTTCAAGCGATTCACTGCTCTCTGATCAAAATCTTAATTCTTAGTTTTCAAATGTGCTATCATCTGATTATATTTGTTAATATATGACCAAAAATATTGCAATAAAATAAAATGAATTTCTGCCATTGGTTTAGTTTAATTTTGTCAGTAAGATTGCCTAAACTAACTACTAAAATTACATGAAAGAATTCGTTAGATGACTCTCATGTTCTTAAGTTAACAGCTGATATAAATTCATTTTGTATTGTTTGTTTGAATCTTCCTATTGATGTTTAGGACCGCAATTGAGTAGTCTGTTATTGGCATAAGTACATCCTGTGCGGATTGCCCCGATATTGCCTGAAGTCCCAAGCATTATAAGCATAGTGACTATCGGGACTTAGTAGTCAAGTGGATAACGCGATGGCTTTTGAAACGAACGGTATTGAGCTAGAGTCCCAGAGTGAATACCAACTACGGGATGTAGTTACATACAACTGACGAGTCACAAATAGAATAAAACGCGCAACTTGAATTCCACTGCTGGCCACCATCCATCTTTGTTTATAATGCTTGCGAATAGATGTAATATCGAGATAATATGCACAATATACACATATCCCAGAAGAGGCTGATCAGTTGCAGTCCTAAACATCAATAAGAAAATTCAAATAAATAATATCAAGTGAATTCAATAATGATAACAGTTTACATTTACATCGTACATCAGATGAATTACCATTGAAAACCTGGGAATACTGAACAACTATTTCTCCTTGTCTCTGATTTGAAAGAACTTTAATCAACCACCCAGCTATATAGTAAATGAAAGAGATAATTTGTATATCGTTAGTGATTAATTCAGTCATTTATTTTGTAAAATTTAATCTAATAAACGAAAATACCCACTCAATACATACTACTTATTTATAATAAGTAATTGTCTAAGAATAAACACTTTCTCACGATTTAATATATCCCTTACTTATGAATATATAAATATGTCATTTCTATATCTTTTTGTGTGGTAATTAATTATCAAATAAGATAAATTGATATTCTACTAACATTATGAATAAATAGTTAGATCTACCACTAGACAATTTAATTTTAACTTGTAATTTATTATTATTTATTTTTATCTCTGTATTTAATGCATAATTTATCATTTTCTTAGTTATAGTTAAGTGGAACAGTTTTCTTTTTCCTTTTTTTTTCTTTTTTTTGTGGTAAATTCAAATGTAATTTATTTATTAACCTTTATACACATAGAATACGTGATTGAACGAATTGTGTTAAACATAAACCCATATCTAATTTCTTTAATACAAAGCTTATGAATTCAGTAGTACTATTAATATTACTAATACTAATTATATGAGAAGGGATGTTTAAATTGATTATCAAAGGTGAATAATCATTTTTTATAGATTGTTTATGTTTTCCTATATGATTTTTATGAAATATATTAGTTGTAAAGAAATAAATTAGGTTTTCGTATTGAGAAAACAATAGGTTACTATTGAGTTTGTTCCTTGTTTAATGGTTGATTATGCTTTTATTAAAATAGGAGAAAATTACCCTTTCAATTGTTCAATGAAAATTGTAATAGAAAACCGTATAATATTACTAAGTAATTTCCTAAAGAGAGATTTATACAAACATTTTAGTGAACACATAACTTCAATTAAATCTATTTGGTACAGAAGTCTTTAGGATGCCTAAAATAATTGTTATAATTTACTATTTTGAATAAGCATCATAAAGATGTCAAATAAATTAAATGCTTACTTAAGCCTGTTACTCCCAATCGAGCATAGGCCGCCGATCCCACTCTGTCCTGGGCCTTCCTTTCTAGTTCCACTCAATTATTGTTCATTTTTCTCATTTCTATTTCCATTTCCCGGCATAATGTGTTCTTTGGTCTTCTTCTCTTCTCCTTTGGTCTTGAGGATTCCAAGTGAGGGCCTGTCTTGCGACTCAGTTGGGTGCTTTCCTCAATGTATGTCTTATCCACTTCCGGTGCTTCTTTCTGATTTCCTCCTCCACTGAGATCTGGTTTGTTCTCTCCCACAGTAGGTTGTTGTTGATAGTGTCTGATCAACAGAGGCGAAGTATTTTGCGTGGACAACTGTTAATAAATACCTTTATCTTCTGGATAATGGCTTTCGTAGTTCTCCATGTTTCCGCCTCATACGGTAGAACTGTCTTGACATTTGTGCAGAAAATTCTGACCTTGGTGTTGGTTGATAGTTGTTTTGAGTTCCAGATGTTCTCCAGTTGTAGATATGCTGCCCCTCCCAGAGCCCCTCTGGGATTACTGCCGGTTCCAAGCCCGGATGAAGAAGGAGCGTTGGGCATGTGGTTGGCGATTACATCCTATAGAAAATTAACTCGCTAGAAAACGCGAAACGGAAAAAAATTCATCAAATAAGCTGAACAAATACTATAAATAGATGCATGGCTTGTAATTTTGTGAATATAATGTAATCACAGTTCGAAATTATTAATTATACTAAAAATATAATGCAGCTCATTGTATAAAAGGTAAGTAATTCTGATGGGCCACATCAAACTTCATATACTTTTTAAAATTCTTGTTATTTTATTCTACAATATTTTCTCATTTTAAATTTTCGGATAAGATTCTCATTGTCATATTTGTGAAGCAAGTTCTAATTCATGTTTAGAAAACATGAATAAACTAAGATTTATTTTGTTTCATTCAGATGAATGTATAAAGATGATACGTCCAGGAAGTTTCCCAAGTGTTTTTTTCCCCTAGGGTTCATTATGACGTTAGGTTAGAATATAAAGACATAATATAATGATGAACTGATACTGAAAGAAAACCTATGCCTCAGATAAATTCAATTTAGTAGCTTCTGAGATATCAGCTTGGAACACAAAAGATTAGATAGTTATTTTGGTTGTAATTAAATAATGTAGCAATAACCTAATAACCAAATAATGAAAAAAACTGAGTTACGTCATGCATGATTTGCTTTTTGGTATAGTGTAAACATTTGATATGGTGCTAAATTACACAGGAGAGAAACAAATTACAACCCTTTTCACCAATTCTCGTCATGTTTATCTTTTTTTTAATTTCTCGACATCATAATTATCCTCAGTTTAGGAAACAAAACTATTTAACGTTCTTCGTAAATACCTTTAGAACGTTGTCCATACAGTCGCTTATATTCATGTTTTACTTCTTTTTGTCGTACTAGCCAATAAATTTTTCATGAAAGTGTCCCAGTATCTGGCTGTTTGTTAAAAATAGATTTAGAGGATCCAAAAAAAATATCAATCTTGCCTCTTATATACGATATAATTCAGTCTCCTTAATCTTATAATATATAATAGACCCACCTGCTCGTTCACTATCACATATTCAATGTTTATTCTAGGCCTCCAATAACATTTCAATCATATTGAAAGTGATCTATTTGTGTCACTTTTTAATTAACTTGCTTCGTCTAAAAGCAGTTGGTGATTTACAAGAGTTTCGATTAAATTAAAAATGAAATCCTCCTTGGTGTAAGACAACATTTGTTGAACTACTACTTATCATCAACGTGAACCATATGGTTTTTCATTTCTTATGTGTAACATGTCGCCGGATTAAAATCTCACACTTGATATCAAATTCAAAGTCTGACGTTAACCTAATACTTTAAATGATAATTCACTTGCCACAAAATAGTAAACGTCTTTTTTTTAGAGTTAGAATGATCAAACAATTATATTGTTCATTTCATCTAAGAAAATTCACTTTCGTTGTGTTTGAAATGTGACAGATTTGAGGATAACATTAATAATTTGTAGGTGATTCGAGTCATTATTTACTACTGATTGTAAGCAAATGCCACATTATAAACCGTGTCGGGTAGAGACAGGTATCTATCTCAGTACAATAGAAGATGGTCGCGCAATTTCGTAGATTGGTTTACATTAGACACTAACACCATTGGATGCCAGCCCAGTGGTCCAGTAGGTTAAGCGTTCGTGCGCGAGACTGAAGGCCTTGGGTTCGAATCCCACAAGAAGGATCGTGGAGGGGTTCCACAATAGAACGAAACGGCCGTTCAGTGCTTCCAGGTTTCCGACAGTGGTCTAACATCAGTCGGTTCATGATCTCAATCAAAAACTTATAATTTTTAACCTAAACTTTTCTCGGTACTATTAGTGATCATCTTGTTTCGTTTTTAAAGCTCAAACGAATTTATTGTTGATCATGTATATTTGTGGGTTCATTTAGCAGAAAAAATAACGTGGTTTACAAATCACAACAAGAATGACTTTATAATTGGTCATAATCACGATATAATTCACTTTACTGACAATCCAATCTACAATGTTGAAATACATGTATTTTCAAATTATTTTGCTTTAATTAGGCCAAGGTCATTACTATTTATCAGAAGCATTGAGACTAGGATGACAATTAACAATAATAATAATAACAATAATAATAATAATAATAATAATAATAATAATAATAATAATAATAATAATAATAATGTCCATTCTTTAAAGTAATTGGCTGACCCGCTAAACCAATCAAATTTCGTAAAATTCACGTGCACGTGTAACCTGTCTTAGGTTTTGAAATAGCTAATTATCAAAATATCCTCGACCCTATTGTAGTAGTTTTATTCATCTATCTACATAGACTGAAATTTGTGAAACATTCTACACGATTCTTATTAATTATATAATCATTAATGGCAGAAACTTAATACTTCAGTGATTTGTTTCTAATGTGCAGAATGATCAAGTTTTACTAATTAGTTGAATATGTTTTAGTTTATGTATTGTCAAAAATAAAAAAATAAAAATAATATTTGATTTCCTCATGTATATAACAAGTTAACCAGTTTTACATTGAAATTCAATATGGTTTACGGGAATGGAACGAATTGTGATAAATTATGGCGTGCATGGAACACAATATTAATCACAGTATTACATATATTTCTCATATATGTTGGAATTAATCGTTATTTAGCTTTTAAGACACAAGCATTTGATGCTAAATTTGGTGGTGCTTGGGATCAATCATGTATGAATTTCACGTTGGCAATGCTTATTACAACATTGACATGTTTCTGTTTATTTCTATTCTGCAGTTTGGTACGTACAACAAATTATGCTAACGAAGGAACCCAGATTGGTAGAGATACAAACAATTTACATTTATTAAGTTCTACATATGCTTGGAAATCTGAACTACCTATGATGAAGTTAACTTCAATGACGGATCATCAAAATTGTATGTATCCTAACTCAACAAACGGTAATGGGAATATGATGAAAACATTAAGTCGAAATGCTTACAATTCAGGTGATGATGATCATGCTTCAGCTATCGGACCAGATGATGTTCTACCTGGTCCTAATTATGACACATGGTCAGGACGTAGTGGAGTTAATCAAACTTTATTCAACTCTTATGCAACCAACAATCCTAATAATACATCTACTAGCCAACGTTTAATTTCTAATGATAATTATTTGCATTTATCTTTTAAACGTAGCTTCGATTTATTATGGCAACGATTTAAAAGGAATTTTTTGCCATATTGTGTTGTTTTGCATTTGATTATGGCTTATTGTTTATACATACCAATACCTTTAATGCAATCACAACAAATATATCATCGAGCATTGCCTGTCAGTAAGTAAAAATAAATATTTCTGTTGTAAACTTTTTGCAGTATATTTAGTCTTGTCTATCATGAAACGTTCCAAGTCTCAATTTTTATTTATCACTTGAATAGAACCTTATTTTCCTCTGAACAAGTAAGATCAAACAATTTAATTTAGGTGCAATACATTTTATGAAAATGTTTTGCATAATCACCATTGTTTATCATAGAGACCTAATGAATTATCAAGAAGAAGTTTAAATTAAAATCATTTTCGACATTATCAAAAGGCAAAATGTTCAGTATTTTTAAATTCACTAAATAGTATAGATATTTGAAATCTCAGCTAAACTCATCAAGATGAAACAGAATAAATTGTTTGCTAACTATTAACATATAAATTTAAGGTCATCTTTTTCTCTACTGATAAATCTTTCATATTTCGATGTTTTTTTTACAAAAGGACATTTTGTCATCTCAATTAGTATGCTGTGTTATTAAACTTTAACAAAGATCCCATAACTTCACTATTATGGGAAGTTGTCCGTTGTTTTAATGAATCATTCATTCGAAAAAAACAATTAGAACGTATTCCTTTTAACAATCATCTAAATTTTAATATAACTTTTAAAATTATATTTATTTTTGTCTCATACGGCACACTATATCCCCCAGACACAATATCATGATCTCTTCTCTCATAAAGATGAACTATTACATAATACAATTGGTTTTTTAATTTTATGATCTGTTTATATCATGTCATTCAATTTAAAAATATTCCGAAAACTTAGAATCTAAGAGGAAAATCTAATTGAAAGTCTTATCTACTCAATAACGCATCTAACTGTTATTCAGTCAGTCACTCAGCAACAACATAGGACCAGGCACATATATGCATCGGTCCAAGTTGCCATACCTCATTAACACAACATGATAAACACTGGATTCATAAAAGTAGTTAATTCAGAGGTGTTAATATATAAAGGAAAGTTTGCATATGAGGATATAGTACAGGAAGAAACAATTAGTTCGTAGAAGGAAAGATATGAAGCGATTCTAATCTCTTAGTTTAAAGGAAGACAGAAAGTGTATACACCCGACCGATGTTGTTACCTTGACATGTTGGTCGGGCTTGTCTATCGTGATGAGGCAACCGAGCTATACTGGCTGGAACAACCGTTCCTCAAGGTCCTACCATGTCAGCCAGGTCGGTTGGGGAGCGGTAAGACTAAAAGCAGCAAACCCAGGGTCCGAAGGTGAAGTCATACTGCTGACTGTACAGAGGTGTGACAGCAGTAAGGTGTTTCCTTCAGACAACCAGCATGACAGCGATGACGCCTTCACACAAGGAGTGGTGGGGTTAGATAAGGTCGACCCTAAAAATGCACATCTCGCCTTATCCCACGGATATCCGTCTCCGGCGGTAAGGTCTCAACAAGTACGGAGCTAACACAAAAATTACCCATGAAAAGGTCGTGTGTGACCTACCTCAAGCAGTTATCCCTTGGGCACTGCGGTCACGCTCTCAGGCCACTAAGACCACCTCTAATCCAATTTCCTTTTCAGGTACCTCCAGAACAACCCTTCCACGGTTTGGGCAACCGAGAAGTGATAACCGCTCTCATACCTCTAACAGCATTCAAGACCACTGTATTCTGACTGTGATTATATCTCTTTGTTTGTTTATTTTTTCATATCTTATGATTAAAACAAAAATAGTAAATGTTTATTTATTTTTCGAAATCTGAATCATTTATAATAAAATTTGGCTTTTAGTACGTTGAAACTTGGAGATATGTTATGTTTTCATAGAATTATATTATCAGAACTACAGGAACTCTTTGATGTTATTGGCAGTATTTCTCTTAACTGGTTTAGTAGTAATAATAACGACATTTAAGTTAAATATTCTAAGGACTGAACCTTAAATATTAAACCAGTTGTTCAATAAATGGATGACCCGATTGCTTATAAACACTCGATTGTCACTAATACAACTGTAATAATCTTAATATTAGAATCATTAATTTATTTTAACAAAAATGAGGTCACTTAGAGCAATTTGACATTTGAAAATCTTTATTATTTCAGCAAGTAAACATGACAACCTAATACTTTTTTATTACCCTAAAAATGTTAAATTCACTGCCTTAGTTAACCTTGAAATGTAAACAAACATTTCAAATGACAATAATAAGTACATAAAAGTGCTTGTATAGCTCTTTATTTTTGTGAAAGAAGTTAACACTTGAAAAAACATTAATTTATCTTTTAGAGCTATAAAACTATATGAATAACAGCATTCAGTATATCAGTTGGTAAATTTATGTCATATTGAATTAGTGTGCTTTTTGCTTGATACTAAAAAAGAATCGACTTTTTTGTCGAAAGTGAAATTTTCCTGGTACAATATTTATTTACTGATTGAACTGCTATACTTTGCTATGGTCATGTTTAAAAAATATTTTACAAAATCTAATAACTTAGAATACCACTGTTGTTTTCTATAAGACTTGTGAAATATTCAGTATAGATTAGTCAACATTTATTATAGAGGTCTTTAAGGCAGTTTGTTTACTTTCAACCGTAACATATAAGCTTGGGTGTTAATTTGTCAAAGTGGGTTGATTCTTTAAGATTATTATTTTCAGAATGGGTTTTGTGGAGATTGTTAGAAATTTCACTTGTTGAAATCATGAGTCAATTGAAGTGTTATAACTGTGACGGCAGCAGATTTGAGGGCAGCGAATTGTCGATCGGACCAAAGAAAATCACACCATGTCCAAGTCCAAGAATAGCATTAGACCTAATAGGATAATTTCTGGGATATTTTCCTGAATATCTCAACATGAAGCTAGACCACCATGGAAAACCTGGAAGCACTGGACGGCCGTTTCGTCTTAGTATGGGACTCCTCAGCAGTGCGTATCCACGATCCCGCACCCTGCGGGATTCGAACCCAGGACGTATCAGTCTCGCGATAGACGCTTAACCAACTAGATCACTGAGCCGGCTTCAATTGACTTATGATTTCAACAAGTGAAATTTCTTTAAGATTAACTGTCTTATAAATATGTAAAGTCAAAACTGTAATACTAGTAAAATCGATTACTATGGTGTAATCTTTATTATTGTTGTGTAAATATTGTGTAAAATATCCATATACCCATTATACCTCTAACTATACTGATTACTAATTACATTTCTTGAATAGCATTATCATCATCCCCATTTCAAGGAAACTCACAATGTAGTCAATTTGTAAACAAATTTAGCGTATTAGAATTACGAAGTAGAAAACCGAAATTCACACAAACACAAATACATTCTTTTTACATTTTCTTCAAAAGATTTTTGACTTGTCCTGGCAGTTATACAAAATGCGAATAATTGTAATCTTAAAACCTTATTTATAATTATGAATGTATTAAAAAGAAGGTTTGATATGATGTAATAACATTTTAAGACATAACAAAAAAAGGTCTACACAATTTGTGTTATTATTTATTCACATGTTTCTAGGCGTGAGTAACTACTTATAGTACTGTAATCATTTTGTTGAGTGCCATTTTTCAATGGTAACGGATTCTTTTCGTCTGTCTAACTTCCTTAATTTGACAATAAATGAGTCTTCTAATTAACTGAACACTTTGCGATTGGATAGTTTTCATTTTGATTTGTGGAGATTGCAGTATTTTTTTACAGTTGAAATCATGAGTCGATCTAAGCTAGACCACTACTGAAAACCTGAAAGCACTGGACGGTCATTCTATTCTAGTGAGTGACTAAGAAGTGAGCACCCACGTGGGACTCGAATCAAGGACCTTCGGTCTCGTGCGAGAACATTTAACGTATAGACCATTGAGCCGGCATTCAATTTATCCATGATCTTACGCAAGCCTTCATCCATTGTCTGGGGTGGTTGGCTGTCTCGCACTCGACAAGGATTGGACTTCACTGGTCACAACTTCTCAATAGAACTCTAGGAAATCTATCTTGAAGCTAGTCACTGATGAGCTAATGATAGTTATCAGCATGGAGATTTATGCATCAAGATTTTCTGTGGTGGTCTAACTTAGAATGAGTCGTGATTTCAACTGTGAATAGTCTTTTTTTAGTTCTAGCTCTAATACTTGGGACCTATGACACATGTCTATGTATAAGTTATAATTAAGAAACAAGGTTTAAAGTTTGCAGTTTTAATGACTCTGTATATAAAAACAATAATACTAAATTAGTGGGTTCATTCAAAATGTATGCTTAAATTTTAATAAAGCAATGTCATCACGTTATTTGATAATATATGTTCTTCAAACAGTTTGGTGTTTTTAATTCTACTATCTGTACCTATCTTTTACAGAGATATCCGATGACTGTAATCAAATTGTGTTTTACCGCACAATAGGTCAAGTTTTAACCTCTGTTTAATTTAAAGTCAACCGATTTTACTATTCATAATGTCTTTTGTCGTATAAAATAGTCTGGGTCCCCGTAATGAATCATATATAAGGGAGGAGAGAGAGAAGAGATGAAGGTCCTTATGTTTATGGTGCCTATGAACTACTCTGTGCTTTACGTTTATTATCATCTGTCTACTTTGAACAATTTGCATATCATTCTTTTGTTCTTTTATCGTATTATTAAAATATAAGCTGAACACCTATGTTGAATTAGATACTTTATCAGTTCACTATAATCAATTAATCCATTTGTCGAATTTTCGGTACTGCAGTTTATTGGATATTGAAGGATTAAAATGAAATATTCATGCTGATAAAAATAAATTAAATAGTTTTAGACAGTCGTGTAGTCATCACAAAAAAACGTTAATCACGCAAATAGTGAAAAACAATAAAATATGCATATTGGACACAGATATTTGTGTAAGTATGTAAAGATGAGGACTTGCTTCCTATGGTTAGAAGGGAATAAAGCTGAATATCAATTATTAGCTGTTATCAAGTTTTTTTAGGCTAGAGTGTTATTTATTGCTTAGTCGCAAAATAGCTCAATCGGTAGTTCTTGT